ATGGTATGATGTTAGAAGGTGGTTAGAGAAGAGGAAATAAGAGAGGGAGAGGGGAGAGAGAAAATAAATAAAAGGGTTTAATATTTATTACTTAGAGCGATGAAGCCTCTGAAAGTGCCCGTGAAGGATGGCTTGAATCCAATGTGCTACTAGCAGTGCTGGGAGATAATGGGCAAAGCGGTGGTTGATTTTGACTAAAGCCTATTTTCTAGAGCCATCTCGAGTTAAAGAGGTTAATGAGACAATCTTGGTGCTGATCCTTAAGATTAAAAGGCCGATTCGGATTGAGAAATTTTGACTCATAAAACTATGCAATGTGGCTTAAAAATTGGTTTTGAAATGTATGGCAAAGAGGATTAAACCACTTATGTTGCACTTGGTGCATGGGACTCAGACAAGCTTTGTGCCCAGGCGGGCAAATCTCTGACAATATTCGTATTGTGCAGGATGTGGTACATTCGATGTGAGCTAAGAAAGGGGAAAGTAGGCTGGATGGTGCTGAAAATTGATTTTGACAAGGCCTACGATAGACTAAAATGGAGCTTTGTGAGGGATACACTGATGGTTGTGAGAGCACTGCAAACTTCATTGACGTTACCATGAGATGCACCTCGTTCGCTAGAATGCAGATTCAGTCAAACGATGGACTCTCGAAGACTTTCACAACATCGTGGGGGCTCAGAAAACGGTGCCCTCTATCACCAACCTGATCGATAAGGCGGTAACGGAAGGGGAGTGAAAGTCGATCTGTCTGTCGAGACAGGGCCTTGAGCTATCACACTCTTTTTTTGCTGATGATCTTATCTTGTTCAGTGTGGCCTCGACGGAGTAGGTGTAGGGGATCCTAAAATGCCTGGATGTCTTTGGATTAGCATCAGGCGAACAAGTTAGTTGGCCAAAATCGAGAGTATTCTTCTCGAAGAATGTGTGAGCTTTGGAGGCTTCTAATATGAGCAACACCCGAAGTAACTCAGAGAAGAAGAACTTGGTGTGGTATCTGAAAGTGCTAGTGATCCATGATAGAGTGTCAAAGGCAATTTACAATGAACTGGTGGACCTAGTAGGATGGTTGGCTGAGTCTATCTCTCTGGCTGCACGTATCACTCTAGCACAATCATTTCTTTCATGACTTCCATCTTATACTATGCAAATGATATCTCTATCCGCCACGGTCCGAGAATATATATAAGAAGATCAAGGGGTTTGTATGGGGGAGCTCTAAGAGGCAAAAAGATTCATCTCATCGATTGGGACACTGTATGCAAGATTAAGGAGAAAGGTGGGTTGGGGCTACGTATTGCAATTTGTATGAACGAGGCCTTCATGCTAAAGATTGTATGGTGATTGATGAAAAAACTGAAGAGTCTTTGGGCGTGAGTGGTTACAGGAATGTATCTAAGACAAATGGTAGGGGGATGGAAGCCGAGGTGAATGACAGCATGTCAAATTTGTGGAAGGGGGGTTCTTCGGGTCTTGCACTACATACCAGACGGTACCCTGTGGAATATCAAGAGCGACAGGAAAACGTTGTTCTGGAAAGATCGTTAGCTTCAAGACGGGCCGCCCCTAGAAAACTTCGTCGCTGATCTTCCGTAGGAAGCAACAAAGTTGACCATAACCGAACCTATCTTGGACGATAGCTGGAACTTTGAGTATTTACCGGCGTTCCTGCTAGAAGCCCTGGTTTTACAGGAGAAACTTCACTCGATTCCACTTGAGAAGGAGCCTGATGTTTCGTTATGGTGCTTCTCCCCCTCATGAAAGTTTACCATCAAGATGTCTATGACCTTACAAGAGGCGTTGATGAAATAGGGCACTATCACCCAGTTTGGAAGGAAATATGGCGGATCCAGGGGCCTACGCGAGCAAGGTCCTTTTTTGGCTGGTACTTCATAAGTGCTTGCTCACGAATGTAGAAAGATGTCGGCGCCACCTTGCATAATCAGATCATTTCCCCATATGCGGGGGCGGTTCAGAAACAACGATACATATGGTCAGAGATTGCCCATAAGCGCATGGAGCTCTCCCTGGCATAAATTTATGCAGGGAGAGCCGGATCGAACCTTCTTCGACACTGATGTGACGAGATGGGCAATGAGCTATTTGGCCGGTCGAAGTAAAGTGGTGGATCCCTAAACTTTTGCGCTTATGTGCCGGAAGCTTTGGAAGAATCAAAATTTATGGGTCGTCAAGGAAAAGCTAATGACTGCGAATTAGTTGGCTGCCCAAGTTAAGAGGATGCAAGAGCAAGTGGTTTCAGCCTTCAGTGAAGAGCAAGGAATCTCGAGTGGTGGAGTAGAAAGAAATGTTAGATTGATAAGCTGGCAGCTCCTGTCTGATGAGTGGACGTGTTCAAACATTGAAGGCTCGGTGATAATGGCTCAAGGGAGCACGTCGACAAGAAGGTTCTCCGAGGGAGTGGTGGTAGGTTCCTCCGCGCCTACTCGATCAATCTTGTCGGAGAATCTATAATGCACGCCGAGCTAGTAAGGATAGCTCATGGGTTCTATATCGCTTGGGAAATGGGAGTTAGGAAGCTGGTCCTACATACGGATTCCATTAGTGCTATCACCTTGCTGAAGTCGGAGAGCTCCATGCATCTACATCCCACACTCACAACCACCATTCGTAGATTATTGGAGAAGGAATGAGAGGTTAATACAGAGCACGTGTTCCGCGAAGCCAATCATGTTCTGGACTATTTGGCTTCAGTTGGCCACTCTTTGTCGGTAAGTGATAACACTAAATCTGCACATGTTTTTACCCCTCATTCCTTGATTGTTTAGCTTGGTGTTTATCATACTTTGGCCTATTTTATGCTAGGTTGTGTTCCTTTGTCACATTTCAGGTCCCATCATGTAAAGTGAAGCATAGGTGCAAGTTTCAAGTCAATCGAAGATCAATTGGCGATCCGGGAGAAGAAACTCTGGCATGACCTGAAGAAGAATGGATTTCTACCTCATTTTATGGAAAAATAATCATGTAATCTTGTCATGAAAAGAAAGAGGACGAGACTACGAGCGTCTGGGATCAAACGACTACTGATTTAGAGTCTAGACGAGGGAGAAACGAAGTATCGAATATAGTGGAAAAAGTTCGGAGGAAGAAACACAGGCAGGCCCTCCTAAAGCACGACCGTGTTTCATATGGCACCTGCCAGTGTTTTTTATGTCGAGCCTCTCTTGTGAAAACTGCTGAAGGGAATTCAAAACACGGGCGGGACCAAACACGACCATGTTTCTGCCCCTGCTCTTGTATAAATCTGATTTCTGCGATTTTAGAGAGAGAGAGCTGGGTTTTGGTTCCCAAACACCCAAGGGACGAACACTAGAGAGAGAGAGAGAGCTACTTGGGAGCATTCTTGGAGCTATTTTGGAGGATTTCTTCGCCATTGGAGCTCGGGAATCAAGCTTGGAGATGGAGATTGAAGATCTAGATAAGATTTCTGCAATCTCTCTCTTCTCTATGGAGTAACTTCCCTTCACTTAGGTCTTGAGGAAACCTAGTTCCATGTGTTAGGATCTTTCTTATATGAAGTTTTGGATGCTATATTGTTTGATTATAATCGATTGATGCATGATTTATTGAGTCAATTGAATCTTGATCAAATTCTCTTAATTTCTGCTTTAACCTATGATAGATAGAATCCAGTTAGGTTGATAGAGCTTCTTCAATGGATAGGAGTGAATTGATTGTGCGAGAGTCAGATAATTCACTGCTTTGTACTGAAATTCATTCCACGTAGTGGAGATCTGTGTGAATCGCCTCAGCATTCTATCCTAGCGAAGTCTAGTCGTCTGCCGGATAATCTGTCTAAGAGGGTTTTGGTCAGCTTAAGAGATTCCAAGCTAATTTAGGATCTTCTACAATAGTAAAAAAACCGAAAGGAAATTACAATTTGGACCTAATTGAGGAGCTAGGGGGAATCATACCTAAGTGAGTTCCCAACCTGTAATTAGTAGTTTTACCTAGTTTAGCTTGTAGAGTAGTTTAGTAAATCAAATCTTAATCTGGTTTGCTAGATAATGAACTGAAGCTGAGTAATAGTAACTCTAGAGACCCGTGGATTCAATATTTATTACTTGTGTCACTATACTGCAGTCCCGTTCATTGGTTACACATGGCAATTGTTAGGAGTTGTATCGTAGCGTGTCAGTAAGGGTTCACCTACTTACGAACCCGAGTCCCACTTTGTGCTATTGGTTGTCTTTCGACTCTATTGGGATACAAACCCCTCATCTAGTTAATGAATAAGGGTTAGAGAGCCCCATGCACTCTATTTTGCACCAAAAATTTCAGTTAATTCAATCTTATAATGTTGTTACGAAACGTCAAGTCAACAAAGTCGTCAGGCCAGTCAACGTGTAAGATAATTTAGTTAAAATTTTTGACAAAATTAGACATTTTGTGTGAAAGTGACTATTATTGCATCAAGCAACCCTCACTCTCCTATAGAAAGCCTTCAATCTTTTCCCCTCCCCTCTAATTTTTAATAGACGATTTCTCTCTCGTTTTAAGTCAGATTTTTTTTTTTTTGCACAAGTAGATCAAATTAATTGTGTTATTGAAAAATGATATACACTTTGATATATTTTTAGAACAAAAAATTGGGGTTTTTTACCAGTCCATACCATATGGTATGGATTGGTATTCATACAATCATACTATATAGTATGTTCGCGTACCAAGAAACCAATCCACATATTAGGGTGGTATAGTATGGTCCCGTGTTTTTCTTACACCCAGAAATTTGTAGATCCCATATATCATGACTTAAAAACGAAGAAGATATCATATGGTATGGAGTTGATAATGAGAGGTGTGGATTTTTCTCAAAAATATTGAAAATGAATATAATTTTGTAAAGCATAACGAACTCGTTCCATCTATGAAAAATAAAATAAAAAAGATAAAAACAATTAAAAATATTAAAAAATATATATTTAATTCTCCACCATTATATATGGATTTTCTGCCCTATTCATTTATGCAAGTCACATAAGCAAGTAGCCGAGAAAACCAGCCACGGAGACCATCATATCATCCAACCAAGTTATTTTATTTGTATTTCCATTTCTTTCATCCTTTGATGGGAAAATTAATTTTGGTGTCTTCTTCCTCCTAATGTTCAACTCAAAACACATTCAAAAGGAGTAGACTTGTCTTCCCGATTTATCTGCTTCTCCTCCGCTGAGCTCAGTCGAAAAGATTACTGTGTTCCTCAGGTACAAGTACTTCACTTATGCCTTCCGAAGTTCTTTTTGAGTTCAATTTCCCTCCGATTTAAGTTTTATTTGTATTGGGTGTCTGCTACTGGCGACGAGATCACTGATTCCATCTGGCTCAGGCCTCTGTCCCTCCCGGGAAGATTGGATTGGAAGTGAAATTTAGGGTATTTTGGAGAATTTTTTGTGTCACTTGAAATCATTGAATTGGGATTATCGGGTTAGTCAGATTTACAGCTCAGCGAGGCTTGATCTGCTTCGCTCTGGTTGACCGATGTTTTTAGTTTGAATTTCGCCTTGTGATTTGTAGTTCAACCTGGCTAGGGAGCTGAATGAAGACGGTGGGATGTAAAAAATCTTTGACTTGAGTGAATGATCAGCTTGTTTTTCTCTAATTTGTTGTGATCAGCTTTTGCTTTCTTGGGGTCTTTTTCCCAAGGAAGTTGAATAATTTCCATCCTGAGATTAACTTGGTCTGTGCATTTTGTCAAGTCAAATTGATGTCCTAGTCATAGCCATGGAGGAGTGAGCTCGCAGCTCTACTCTGTAGTCAAATTTCGTTCCTATCAGCTTAACAGGAGACTTACGAGCAGAGGCTTTTTTTTCTGTTACAGTAGAGATGTCATTTTGCGTGGGAAGTTTCTGCTCATCCACGGATCTGCTTTTGTACTGATATGGCATTCCTCGAAGTCTCACGTTGCTGGTTTGCTTAACCTTGATGGAAAGGAATCTGGGCAAGGCTGTGATGGATCAAAAGAACTACGAGCAAGCTCGATATAGTAATGCCGAGACTAGAAATGAGGGACCTAGTTCCACCAGCCAAAGGTTTTTGCACGACCCATCGACCAACATTAACACTAACTTGCGCCCTCCTGATTATAATGTGTCAATAAGAGCCAGACCTGTACTGAATTACTCCATCCAGACGGGTGAGGAGTTTGCCCTGGAATTTATGCGGGAGAGGGTGAATCCCCAGCAGCACTTCCTTCCAAATTCAAATGGAGATCCTAGTGGCGGATCTGGCTACATGGATTTGAAGGGTATGCTTGGAATGTCTAATGCGGGGTCAGAAATTGGGTCAGATATCGCAATGATCAACAGTGTGGAAAAAGGGCGAACCCAGGACTTCGAAAGGAAGGTTGTTCCCCCACAGGAGCACGATTCCGTGCGATCAGTGCCAAGAACCTCATCAAGAAATGACACTAGGCGAGAAAATCAGGGTTATACTTCGTCAAGGCCATCAGATAGTTCATCTGTTAAGGTGAAGTTTCTCTGCAGCTTCGGTGGTACCATCTTGCCCCGTCCAAGTGATGGAAAGCTTAGATATGTTGGAGGTGAAACACGCATAATACGGATAAGCAAGGATATTTCTTGGCAAGAGCTAGTGCGGAAGACTTTGGCCATTTGCAACCAACCTCACACGATAAAGTACCAGCTTCCAGGTGAAGATCTTGATGCACTGGTTTCAGTGTCATGTGATGAGGATCTTCAGAACATGATGGAGGAATGTAGTGTACTAGATGACGGAGGTTCACAGAAACCCAGGATGTTTATATTTTCCAGCAATGACCTGGAGGATGGAACATGTGGACTGGGAAGTGTGGACTGTGATTCTGAGATACAATATGTTGTTGCTGTGAACGGTATGGATTTTGGTTCAAGGAAAAGCTCCATCAATTTAGCGAGTGCATCTGGAAACAACTTGGATGAGTTGCTTAGTCTCAATATTGAAAGGGAGAATAGTCGAGTTGCAGCCGAAACATCCATTGCTACCATATTGCCTTTGGCAGTTACACAGACTCCTTCGACTATTCAATCTTCTCAACCGGGGACTTTAACTTCATCCATCCCTTCTTCACAACCTTATCAGGGACTTAATACGCATCATTTGGATGCCGGCCAGTACCCAATAAATTCAACTCGACCTGCGGGGAGCTTGCAACAACTGGATGGAAAGGGTTCTAACACCTCTAATGCAAAGAAATATGCTATTGTTACCGACCCTTCTGGCTATGGAACATCTGGAGAGACTTTGATGCCTGCGCCTCTCCTTGGGCATCCTTCTCAAAAAGGTGGTTTGGCTGAGGAGACGATACAGGGTGGCGCTCGTGTGCAAAATGCAGAAGCATCTATCAAGGATAGCAAACTGAGAAGAGATAGCTCTAGCCAGAAGATACACGAGTTAGATAAAATACAAAATATGGATAAAGATGCACAAAAGGAGCTGAAGATGAAACGTGATGGCTCACTCCATAAGGTAAATGAAGCTGTGTCTATACCAAATAATGTTCAGAAAGAGGAAGCTGCAGTCTCCAATCCTACAACAGATGTAGGTTTGCTTGTCTTACCTACAAAAAGTAATTCAAGACCTCAGGAAGGTGTACTAAATCCTAAGAATTTGGTTGAAGGAAAGAAGAATGCAGGGGATGATCGATTTTCATCTGGTGGTTCCTTTGCCCCTCAGTCTGAGGCTGATCTGACAGACTTTAGCTACCCTGAACAGCCTGTGGTTCCTCAACCAGTCTTTCACTCAGAGCGATTTCCCAGAGAGCAGGCAGAATTACATCGCCTGTCAAAATCTGAAGATTCATTTGATCCACAGGTTCTAATGAATCAGGCACGTTCTGGTGTTTCTCAACTAGTCAATGAATCAATTGATAAGTTACATGATTCACCAGCAAATCTCCTGACTGAACAGTCCCTCCCATCTGCAAAAGGGCATCACGTACATCCTCAGACCATTGAGGATGGATTGGCTCGGTTTGAGAAGTACAAGGAATTGGCTGATAATATGAGTAAACCCAGTTCTCATGTTCCCCAAGTGAAGGAGTCAAAGTTGCAGAAGTCTGACTCTAGGCATGTGTTGTTTAATAGCACTGACAATTCAGAAACTGCACAGACGAAAGCCAAAAAGGAAGGTTCGGGATTGATGCATTCAGCCGCTAGTGAGATTCCAGGACCTTCCAGCAAGCACCTGGAGAGTTCTGCTATAAGGTCATCAGAATTTGATCAGTCTGAGATAGCCAGCAATAAGAATATTGGCAGCAGTGCCAAGGGACACATGCAGCTGCCCAAACAACAGATAGAGAACCCAGGGGGAGCTGTTTCTATTGTGAAGTCTGCTATCATTGGTACTCCTGAGCAGATAACTATTGATATCAATGAGCGTTTTTCTCGTGATTTTTTATCTGATATATTTTCACAAGCCAAGATCCATGAAAACAGCTCTACCATTGGCCCAATGCATGTTGATGGAGCTGGGTTGAGTTTGAACATGGAGAATCTTGACCCAAAACGATGGTCATACTTTCGCAACTTGGCGCAGAATCAATTTGTGAGGAAGGATGTATCGCTTATGGATCAAGATCATCCTGGTTTTCCCCCCTCTATGACAACTGTTGAAGGGAGCACGCCTCTTGATTACAGCTATCCACCTTTTAAATCTGATGGCATTTCCGTGTCGAAAACGGACTCGCCCATTAACTTTGATGAAGACATCCAACAACAGAGATCCGGTGTGGCTGGGACTCAAACACTGGACTATAGCCATTCTCAGTTGAAAGCCCAGGAGAGCGTACAGTTGGATGGAATCAACTCGAGGATTCCAGAATCTGCATATGAGGTACTCTTTCTGTTGCATGTCATAATCTGCATATCATTGATCATAATGCTAATATGTGCATATCTGTTCAAATATACTGTCGCTGTCAGGATGGAAAGTCAGATGTTAATAATACTGCTGGACTACTTCTTGATATTTCTCTTGGAGATTTTGACATCAGTACGCTACAGGTGAATATGGGCAGTTTCTGACAATACTTTTTTATTACAGTAACTGAACATCAGTGAAAATATTCCTTTCATTTAGTTTAGGTTGCTTGTATGGAATTTAGTTGTGCTTCACATACAAGGAAACTTCGTTTACATGTCGTCCTGCCAAGCAGCTGGGCTTGCTTGTAGTCACACAGCCGTACCCTCTTCTTCGTTGTCATGCCCTCCATCTAGTATTGTATTTCCGATCCCCTGTCTATACACTTGCTCTAAATGATAGCATTCAGAGCCTGTAAACTCTCTGACTTTTAGTTTACACTTTGCAACACATATCAGACAAAGAACACTTATGCAGTAACCACTATATTGCTTCAGAAGTTTGTTTGAATTATTCTATTATTAATATGTATTATATTTTACACGCATAAACGGTTCTGTAAACGATTACTCAATGGTTCAATAACTATTAACTTTGGAACCTTGAACCTCTAGCTTTTCTGATTCCATATCCGGTTCGGTTTTGAAAACAGAGCAATTTATACAGCCAGAGCAAATTTAATATGGCCTAAGTTGGTTCTTTTTATCTGAAACTTTTACTTAAGTTACAGCTACCACTCGCCAGCGCAACAAACACAATTTTGAAAAATCACGCTACTTTAGCTGATGCCACTGCAATTTTGTAGCATGAAGCTTCTATGCATTCGTTCCTTTCTTGGGTTGCTTTTCTTTCTGACCGATCATTTTAACTTTCCTAAATTTTGACAATTGTTCTTATTTCAGATAATTAAAAATGAAGATCTAGAAGAGTTGAGGGAATTGGGTTCAGGAACTTTTGGGACAGTCTATCATGGAAAGTGGAGGGGATCAGATGTTGCCATTAAGCGAATAAAAAAGAGCTGTTTCACTGGCCGGTCATCAGAGCAAGAAAGGCTGGTAAGCCACTATAGTTGCTTGGATAGTGGAGTTGCTTTAAAGGTGTTATCTGACAAAGTTATAGCTCCGTATCCTACCATGCTGTTTAGCTTCCATTGACTGACTTGATATCTGATTGTGGGCTGCATGGTTTCTTGTGTTCCGGCCTACATTTTTCAGTTTGATCATTAAACAATAATCTATGTGGGTAATATTATGCAAGTATACTAACCACTGACATTACATGCTCTTGGACACAAATGATGAAATGATTTAGTGGTAATCCCGTAATCATGGGTGCTGATATGTCTTGTCCATTCAATCTCATGCTTGTGTCTTGTATTTCAGACAATAGAGTTCTGGCGAGAAGCAGATATTCTGTCAAAACTTCATCACCCCAATGTCGTGGCATTTTATGGGGTGGTGCAGGATGGACCAGGTGGAACAATGGCCACTGTGACAGAGTACATGGTGAATGGCTCTCTTAGACACGTTCTGCTGAGCAAGGAGAGGTAGTACTAGTGCCTAGTTTGTGCATATCACTTGTGTTTGTAGTCTTGGATGACTCGCTCTGATAGGTATGCAAAATTAATGGTACTTAGGCATCTTGATCGTCGTAAGAGGCTCATTATCGCTATGGATGCTGCATTTGGAATGGAATACCTGCATTCAAAGAACATCGTGCACTTTGATTTGAAATGTGATAACTTGCTTGTCAACTTGAAAGATCCCCTGAGACCCATTTGCAAGGTAAATTCTAATTTCTGGGAATTGGTAGTTCTGGAACCAGCTTTTGAGAGCAAGGCTTCCTATTTAATAAAGGATGCATTTCCCCCCTCGTTCCCTGGTTTCGGTGATGTGTACTGAACTTCATCACCTGTTTATGTTTTTGCAGGTAGGTGACTTTGGTTTGTCGAAAATCAAAAGGAACACCTTAGTTACTGGTGGTGTGAGGGGAACACTCCCGTGGATGGCCCCAGAACTGCTGAATGGGAGCAGCAGTAAAGTTTCTGAAAAGGTACTACTCTTTGACCATCCAATGCCATACCAAAGTAATAAAATCCCACCTCTCATTCATATGCAATCTCTTAGTTCATGCCTGGCTCCATGCAAACAGAATTTATCAGACAGCTTTTGTCCTTGCACTTTGTCAAGTGACCATAACTTGTTTAATTATATGATTGTTATAGACTGTCGACATTTTTGTCTTCCAAATTTCTGGCGCTGTATTGATTCTTAGTATGCTGGCAGGTTGATGTATTTTCCTTTGGTATTGTGCTGTGGGAAATTCTTACCGGCGAGGAACCTTATGCCAATATGCATTATGGAGCAATTATAGGTGTGTGTGTGAACAGCTTTATTTTCTATATCGTTTTATATCATATCAACCCATCCAGTTATAACTGGCGATGCCACTACACGGTTCTCCTGTGAGCCAAATATGTCCTACCTTATTAAAGCTTGGTGCTCCTCCCCGTTTTCTCTTGCAGGAGGCATTGTCAATAACACACTGAGGCCTCCCGTACCAGGCTTCTGCGACCCAGAATGGAAGTTGCTAATGGAGCAATGCTGGGCACCTGATCCTTTGGCACGCCCAGCGTTCACCGAAATTGCCAGACGATTGCGTGTTATGTCTGCCGCAGCATCTCAAACCAGACAACAGAATCATCAGCCTCAGAACCAGGCACATAAGTAGGGTGCTGTGCCTGCCCTTCCCTTGGTGGTGGGTCTATTGTCATCGTTGTGATGGTAAAAGAAAGAGTTGGTTCACTTGTTTAACCATCTTGTGTCTATAGTATGAGCCAGGATCGATAAGGGGCGCCCTTGCCCGCCAATTGTAAGGGTTGAAAAAAGAAAGGAGAGATATATAAGAGATTGGTATATGTGTGCAGAGAACTACTATTTTTTTCTTGTCGATAGGTAATACTGAACTGCCTAAACAGTTGGAATTGGTTTGTACAGCAGGGAGAATTCTGGGAACTCGTTTGTTCATAAGGGGGGTCTTTTATATGTAATTTTTTTGTTGGTGTGAGTGTGTGATCATAAAGTTTATAAACACGTCTTCTGTCATTCTCAAAGCTTATTATTTTTCAATTTTGAGTTGAGTTCATACAGTTGATGTACTCAATGATCATACTCTTATTTTTTCTTGGGGTAGAAAATGATCATACTTTTATTTGGTTTCAATGGATCAGTTAGTGAGCTTTAATACATAGCAAACACTCATTTATTAGGATCTCAACTCGGACCTTTCGGTGGATTTAACTTCTGACTAAGCCAGCTAGTAAAGCTATCAAAGGAATTGATGTTTAGAATCGTCGTTGTGCGATTAGTCAAGCTTCTAAGATGCTTTTCGTTGGTGTTTGTTTCTTTGTTTTATTATAATTATTTTTTTTTCTTTGTTTTATTATAATTATTAGTTTGTGGTGATGAGCAGGTGGACATTCCGATGGTTTGGCTGTTTTTGTGATTATTTTTTTAAATATTATATTGATGATGCTTTAATCATTCAGCTTCTAGCACTTGGTGATGCTCTCAGATGCTGCCTCTCTCATCCAATAATTAATGGTTTATTATGTGGTAACTCGCAAGTTATCATCTGCATGGTTAACTTGAAGGATTTTTTTTTTTTTTATAACCCAGTAACCTCAACCCCACATGCCACTTTGTGACAGCGTGATCTACTAAACCTGGAGAGCACCTGTATAACACACAATATCGGGAGACTTCGTCCCCGGCACTCAGGCATGCCTCCAGGAATACACAAACAGCGCCGCTGGGGATCGAACTCAGGACCTCTCACATCCTGAGCCAACCAGACCAACGGTTTCACCGCTAGACTATATTACCTTTGGCGGTTAACTTAAAGGATTCAGAGCATGCGTTGGGTGGAAACCTCCTTTTCGGTGTCCAGGTTTTACTTTCTCTATGTAACATGCCTCATTTCACTTGGCACTACATAACTATAATCATCTCTCCATAAGCTTTAATGATTTGGTTGAAATAAAATAATTCGCTAAAATTATTAGAGTAAAATAACTCCATAAGTTTTACGTACGTAGTGTCTTAATCATTACGAAAGACATACATCACACATTAACTTAACTTATGTATAAAAATTCCTTTATAAGTTTTACAGTGTACTAAACTGTTATACAAAATAATAACTTACTTTATAAATAAGTGTTACAAAAAAAATTTGGTCTAATGATGAAGTCAAGTAAATAAAAATATAAAATTTGATTAAATTGTTATATAAAAAACAACTTACCCTATAAAACAATAGTGTATGCAAATAATGAAGAGATAACGCACCCGTCAAAAAAAAAACCCCCTAAAAAAAATGAAGAGATAACGCTGAATTTGTGAGCTTTATATAGGGTTAATACCTTATTTTGGCCCGAACTATAACCATATAATCAACTTTGGCCCATGGTTTCAGAAATGAACATCCTGGCATCAACTATGCGGCATATAGACTCAATTGGCCCGACACATAATTTGACCGTCAATTTGGACGGTCAACTCCGTCGACTGTTAGTCAACATGCCATGTCATTGCCTAGTCAGCCTAAAAATCATTAAAAAAATTCAAATTCAAATTATTTTCCTAATTTCTATTATTTATCATTTTCCAATTAACCAAAAAATAAAATTCTAAAAATATTAAATAATTTTTTTTGGGATATTTGAAAATGATAAATTTTATAAATTAACCAAAAATTATCAAATTAAATTTTATAAATTTAAAAATTATGATATAAATTATATTTTTGTGGGAATTTTTAAAAATATAAAATAATTTGATAATTTGTGGTTAATTAATAAAATTTATCATTTTTCAAATTATCCAAAAAATAAAAAATCAAATTTATTTTATGTTTTTTTTAATGTATTTTTGGTTAATTTGATAATAAATAAGAAAAATTAGAAAAATAATTTGAATTTGCATTTTTTAATGATTTTTAGGCTGACTAGGCAATGACATAAGCGTGTTGACTAACGGTCAACATTGACGGTCAAACTATGTGTCGGGCCAATTGAGTTTATATGCTGCATAGTTGAGGCCAGGATGTTAATTTCTGAAACCACGGGCCAAAGTTGATTATATGGTCATAGTTCGGGCCAAAATAAGGTATTAACCCCTTTATATAATATATAAGCAATTACATGACAATTGTAGATTAGTGGTAAGAGGTAATAATGAATTTGTGAGCTTTATATAATATTTGTAATTACCGGTTGTAGAATACCCCCTTCGAGCTTTATATAGATATTATCTTTAAATAATAGAATAATTTTTATTGATTGATTGATGCTTTTTTATATTTTATTATATATTTTGAAAAAATAATTTGTGCCACATTTTGTTTACAGAACAGGGCCTCCAAAGTTTTAGAACCGGCCCTATTGAGAGGTGTCTGCCAAGGCTCGATATTTTGCTTCTGATGAGGATATGCTAACTGTCTGCTTCTTCTTTGCACCAGCTGATGAGTGCTTGACCTAAGAAAGCACAAAAACCCCATTACTAATCATCGTGCGTGGTGTGTCTGGACATCTAGCCCATTCAAAGTCTAATAAAGTAGTAAGTCGTATAGTAGATTTAGCAAGATAGCATAAGCCCTTAGCAGGAGTAGTTTTTAGGTAACACAGGAGTCTATGTGTGGCTAACTCATGTGTTGTGGTACGAGTATCGACAAATTGGCTAAGCTTATTAACAATATAGCATTTGTCAGGTATGATAAACAAAGGCGTTGAAAACAACCAATAAGGGTTCTATAGATGCTATGATATGTTGCATTTGGTGGTTTTCCTTCAGCACAAGGTAGGTGGGTAGCAGGAATTGATGGAGTAGTTGTAGGTTTGGAAGCAAGGAATCCAGTGTCAGATAGAATGTCTAAGGCCTGCTTTCTTTAGCAAAGACGGATTCCAAAAGTTGTTCTAGAGATTTTAGGCCAAAGATGTACTAAAGTTTACCTAGATATTTGATGGTAATGGCAAACTATAGAGTTTGTGACACCATTTCGATCTCCACATTACTATTTCTGGTAAGAACGATGTCATCTACATATACAAGGTGTGTTGTAAATGTGTTTGATGACTTTTTAGATAACAAAGAGTAATCACTATGTGATTTTTTTTATAACCTAGAGATTTCAGAGTTGTATCAAGCTTAGCAAACCATTGACGAATAGCTTGTTTTTATCCATAAAGTGATTTCACTAATTTGCATACTTTATTTTTGTCAGCAGATGTAACTTTCATATCAGAAGGTTGCATCATGTAGATCTCTTTATTGAGGCCTCCATGAAGAAATGTTGTGTTGATATCTTCTAAGAATCAATTGTAAATAGAAGCTAGGGCCAACAAAATTATGACTGTTGTCATTTTAAAAAAAGGAGAAAAAGTGTATAGATTGTGCACACCAGGGGTTTGTGTTATCCTTTTGCAATTAATCTTGCTTTGTATCCGTCTGTGTCACCATCTGGCTTGTAGTTAACTCTAAATACCCATTTACAGCCAATGATTGTGTCACGATTGTTTCTCTGCGGATCAGGAAATAGGAGGAACGACAAAGCAAGAAATAACAAAAACAAGAATAAACACGACACACGAATTTACGTGATTCACTAACACGATGTGTGTGAGCTAGTCAAGTGACTTCCAGTCGTCGTAGCCAGATAGTCTAATTCAAGTCACATCAACAGATAGTTATATACTAATTATATTAGGAGACGGTTCAAAAATTTCTCATATTTTTGTTTTTCTAAAGAAGTGAACTTTAAATTACAGGTTTTTAACCATTCCTCATATTTGGATGCTTCTTTAAAAGACCATTATTCTCTATTAAAGTGATTTCAAGTGAAAATTTCTTGTTTGTGGGAATTAAAGAGATATAACTATGGCTGTTTTGGATGAAAAAGCAGGGATCAGTATGAGAAACTGAAGTACTACTGATCAAATAACACTTGTTGTCTTTTAGTTTTGAAGGTTTGACAACTATCCTAGTTCATTTCCTCAGTAGTCGAGAAATAGAACTTGTTGCAGTTGTAATAGGTAGAAAAGAAGTATCCTGAAGAGAAATTTTACGATGCTATATAGTATTGGTGCTATAGGTTTTTGCCTTTATGGTACAACTTAAAATTGTACATTTACGTTATGGTACAACTTCAGATTGTACCTATACTTTTTGTCCAAATTCTTTTATAGTACAACTTGAACTTGTACCTTTATGTGGTGGTACAACTTCAAGTTGTAAAGTTGTAACATAACATAATGATACAAATTGCTTTATGGTACAACCTAAACTTATATATTTAATGTTATGGTACAACTTTGAGTTGTAATTAAAGCACCAATGCTATATAGCATAGTAGAAGTGCTCGTATCCTGAACGCTTGGAGGATTTATGGTTTCTAGATCACGAGAAGCAGACAGCTGGAAATCGGAGCAGGGAAGAGTAGATAAAGATGGAGAGATACTGATGGGAAGTCCAGATCATGTAAGAAAGCTGAAAAAATTAGGAAAAAGGAACTTAGTATGTGTTTTGTGACTGAAGATGCAAGGGGATGTTCTCATAGAAAGACACATCTCTAGAAATGAAAACATTGTGAGTTTTCAAATTGTATAGTCTTTAACCCTTAGTATCAGTAGGGTGGCCTATGTAGATACAATAATAGTATACTCTTGTTACTGCCTTTATGTGTTGATATTTCCTCTCAACAATACCATTTTGTGGGAGGTATATACACATGTTGTTTGATGAAGTGTTTCTTTTGTATTATTGAACTCAGGAATTTGGAATTTCAGGCCATTGTATGTTCTAATGATCTTGATCTTAGAATTAAGCTAAGTAGAGACAAATTCAAAAAATAAAATTATTATTGAACGAGTTTCATACTTGTGTTTCATTACAAACAATCAAGTATGCCTAGTGAAACGGTCAACTATAGTCAAGAAGTAGGAATGACCATGGAAAGTTTTCACTAGAGCATTTCCCCATATGTCAATGTGCAGTAAATCAGAAGCTGCAGCAATTTGACTAGTACTATTTGTAAAAGGAAGATGATTTTATTTTACTTGTGGGGAAATTGTACAGTGAAACTTAGAATTACATGCTACATTAGGACAAGAGATATGTAACTATCTAAACTTTTCACTAGATAAGTGGCCTAACATGTGCTAAATATCTATGTTTTGTTGAGTAGTACAAAAATCCACAAGAGATTTTGTGGGTTGTGTACCTGATTCTGAAGAGAGGACTGTAGTTGAGAAGTTTGAGCTAGAGTGTGGAGGATGTATAAACTATTCAGCAAATTAGTTGTACCACTCATCCTCATACTTGGGAACTCCTGAATAACATAGAAGGAAGAATAAGCCATAAGGAAATAGTTGATTTTTGTACTAACTGACGCACAGAAACCATATTGAAAGTGGAAGCTTGTACAAACAAGACATTTTGTAAGACCAATCATTTTGAAAACTTAACACAACCAATTGCAGTGATTACTATCTTATTTCCATTAGGCATATGGAAAAAGGTGTTAGTAATTGGTTTGTAAGATGACACACAAAGAGAAAATTATGTGGTCAGTGGTGTATCTAATACCCATTGATGTTGTAAAGGTAAATTAACAGCTAGAAATTGTCTATATTTACCTGTTGGCTTCCTGTTGGCTTGCTATGCTCCTAGAAAAGCAGTTGGAATGGAAGGATAAAAAGTTTGTTGTCGCTGATGAAACGGTTGTTACTGCTGTGCAGGTTGCATTATGCTCACCATTTTCTACTAATGTTGGAAGAGAGTCATCCAATCGGATTGATTAATGGTGACTGATCAATTAGAAGTGGTGCCAACCTCTATAGTCACATTGTTAGTTTGTCGAGGGTTATTAGTCTTCTTCTTAGATTGGTAACAAGGAGGATACTCAATCTTCTTATAACAGACATCTTCAGTATGCCCTCTATATCCCCAGAATGTACATACTAGTTTCTTCCTGGCTTTTTTAAGTCTTGACCAGTTTTTTGAACACCCACATACTGATTTCCTTATGCTTTAATGCCATACTATCAATAACATGATTAGGATTTTGGTGAATTTGTGGCTTAGATAATAGACAATTATCACGTTCATGTTGCACCATAAAAGCAAAAATCTTGGTAATAGGTGGTAAATGATCAAACGACATAATAGTGGATCTACTTTCATTAAAACTATCATTAAGATTCCTTAAGAACCTATGACTTTGTCATTCATATAATCTTTCTGTCAAAATAGGGCAGCCTTGACAAAGGAAATCGTTTGGGGAACAAAGTGGTTCGCCTTGTAAATA